GAGAGTTGTTTGTGATGAAAGTGGATTGAGATACCTTGATTTAAATAGGGGAGGAGGAGTTTCACGGGTTCCATTAAGTGGGTAGTTGGAACGGTGAGAGTAAAGGAGTTTCAACTTCCAAGAAGTTGAAAAGTAGAAGGAATCTTTTACCAGTTACCAAGGACGTGAAACTGTTTTAATTAGAAAATCAGTTTCGATTGGTTTGAGAAACGTAACTGTTCTGGTTTGGCTAAGCCCAAAAGAGTGGCCCAAAAAGAAAAGAAAGCTATGTACTAGAGGGAAATTATTCCTATTGGGTTCTCAAGGCCCAAAAAAAATAAGACTATCATTTTTCATTCCCTATAGTTTTAATTTCTACTTAGGACGAGGTAGTACCAAAACAAATATGAATATTTAAAAGAAAAGAGGTACTATTTTTCCAAAGTCCTGTACATTTTTAAACATCCTAGGGACCAGTACTTTTAGAGCTGGTTGGAAATGAATTAAGGACTAAAGCTTAGTTTAAGAAGGCAGATTTTGTAAGGTACCTGAATCAGAGATTTCCAATTTTAGTACCAAAACTGAGATATCCGTCTTCCATTGCTTTGAGCTTATCAATAATTCATTGCCAAAAAAAAATTTGTTAGCCAAAACTAGGTAAGTTCCCCCTGAATTACATTCCCCCTGAATGTATGCGCTTCAGAAAAATAATTAAGACAAAATCATACTTGAGATCAGCATAATCAAGCATAATAAGCACAATTAAGGCATACTTAAGCAATGTTTAAACCAATCAAGCAATGGTTAAACAAGAAGGTGTTTTCATCAAAACAAATGTTTTCACATACTTTCCCCTAGTTTGATGAAAAGAACCTTCAGTTCCTTTTGCGTTTTGAAGATCCGGCAACTTCACTGATGCCCTGCATGTTCCCACACAGTTCTTTGATGCGCCTTAAGTTTTCACGCCTTTCCTCTGTTTGAGCAACATCTGAGAAGTGGTCAGCCACTGCACCTATAAATTCTGTTCCATCCAGTCCTGAGCTGGATAGGTGTTGTGCTGAGTTTTCCGGATTTCTTTGCTGTGCTTCAAGGATCAGATTAGTCATGTGCAGATGAGAAGGGACATAATATGCTTCTCCTTCATTGACTGCAATAGGGAGCTGTGGTATTGGAGATGGACTGTGTTGTTGGAGAATTACTTCCATCTTGCGGTTCCCAGAATGTGCACCAATAAGTCTGAACAGCTTGTATGCTTCCTTTTGATTGTCAATGATCACCTTCAAGTAGTCTTTGGTTACTACTTGATTTGCTGAAGCTATAGCTAGGGCTGATCTGATGTCCATTTGGA